GATATGACTTTCGATTTCGACATGACTTTCGGCACGCCAAAATACTTTCGGAGCCATCCTTAGTCTTGTCCATTTCAGTTACATATGTAAGCGCACGCTCTTTATATGTTGTACCATACTCATGAGGATCATTGTCTGTAACATTTTCATCCCAGAGACAAGGTGTTTTAAGGATATGGTAAGCGGTGTATGCTATATGCCCAATTGTATCAAGACCTTCGGAGCCAGCGTAACCAGAGATAGTTTTATTATCAGGCTTTGTGCACCAGACAAGTTCTCTTTTTCTTGTCCACATAATTCGTCCATTTACGGGGTTATTTCGAAGTGACAAAAAAGTATCAGAATAAGTTATCATTCTATCAAGTATTTGAAGGTTTTGAGTAACTTCATACACTAAACCTAGAGCTTCTACATCTTGACCAGCTTGTCCATCCGCTATAAGATTATCCAGCGCCGTTTTAGGTATTCTAGAAGGCTGTTCTAGAAAGCTAATGAATAAATCAATTTCGGTTTGGGTAACAGAACCAATTTTGCTTTGGATTATCATACTATTATTACTAGGAGGTATCAATGGTGGTCTGGGTGGACATTTTTGTGCATATATAGTATGGTAAAATTCAGTTAAAATAAAAAATAATAAAATTGTTATACAATTCATTTTTCTGAGATTATAATTTTTGATATAATTCTCAAAATTTTTAAGTGATAAGTTTATTACAAGAACGGAATAAAATTATTGATAGTTTAAACCGTAAATAAATAATAGTTTGACATAGTAATCTTGCCTATACAATTATTTAGATCAATGACTAATGATTAATGTTAAAGAAAATCAAGTTTAAGTTTGGCATACAATATTTGAGAACCAATATCTAAAAATTATTGGGTCAATTTGATATTATTCATTAATAGAATCGGGCAAACGTGAAGTATAATGTTTATCTGATTGTGAAATTGTGATCAACCTAATAAAAATTTTACCTGAAACGAGCATTTGAATTTTTGACGTCGAGCTTTTAGAATTTTTACCTGATTTTGTTAACAATAATTAGAATAATTAGAACGATTTTCTATTTTTATTTATTTTTAAAGGATTAACCGTTTAGAGATGCGTACTATTATGCCGATAATATGGGATTACAGAAGATCAGTATAGTAGGATGACCGGATCAGTATTGTGCAGGCCGAAATTAAGAACCTTATCATACTGATCGGTTATAATTCCTAACTTTAACGCTGATATACATAACACCACATCAATATCGGTATGGTACGATTTTCTGTACTATACCTCATACCATCTGATCAGGTCAGTCGTACCATATTGATCTTCATAATAGCGGCAGATCAGTATAGGCTAAATTAAAGGGGTCCGTATTATTTCACCGACAATCACTTCACCGACAGCTCATTTAGCCGACATCACGCCAGGTGAAATTTAGT